TTTAACTACACTATTTTTTCTTTTAGGTGGTTAACATCTTTTTATAAATCTGAAATTTTAACTTGTCTCTCTTGTACTATTGTTTTCTTTAATATATTCAAGAAATCATATCCATCAAACTTATCATCATTTTTTTAAAGAATTTTCTGCTTCTTTTTCTTCTAAAGTATATTTTTTAATTTTGTTAAATATTCTAATTGTTCTTCTTCATTTATTATTTTATCAACCATTTCTAAGGCTAATTTGGTTTCAAATTTTATTACATTTATTCTATAAAAACATGCACAATTTTATGAATCATAATAAAAAAATTTCCTTTTTTATCAGAACTAGTTTCTTGACTTACTTGAGCTATTTCTTCTTCATTTACTTTCAGAATATGATGTTTCATATAAGAGTATTAAGAAATTTTTTCTTTTAATTCTTATTCACTCATGCTTAATTTATTTATTTTTTATGACCATATCTACCACATTTATAACAAACTATATTAGACTTTCTTTTATTATATTTTTGAATTGGAGTGTTATTTTTTAAAAGGCTTCTTTTTTCTTAAAGTCTTAAAGGAATATTTATGGTACTTTCCTAGAAAATATCTTTGTTTTTTAGTAACCTTTCTTTTAATATAAGAAGGAGGAGTTAATCTTTCATATTCAAGCACAAAAATTACCTAGTTCTTTTATTCCACTTTCTTTTATTCCTTTTTATTTGATTTTCTAATTTTATATTATTGCAGATTTCTAATGCAGTATTTTTAGTAGTAGAAATGATTCTTCCATAAGTTAATTCATGCAAAGGAGTATTACAATAATTTTGGGTTATTCTTTCTCTTACCTTATTAGCAAAAACAGGAGATAATCTTCCAATAAACATTTCTTTCCATAAACTTTTTTTATAATATGCTCTTGTTAAAATTATAATCCGATATACCACCTAAAATTCCCTAAGATAGAACATTTTAAATTATCAAATAAATTAGAGATTTTTTCATCAAAAATATTAAAATCTCTCATAAAATTATAAATTATTGTTATTATTGAAATTTCTACTATCATAGATATTTGTTGACCATTTTTTATTTTAACTGAAGTTATAAAGTATTTTTATTCTAGGGTTAGATAATTATCACACCATCCGATTATTAATAATTTAACAAGTTGACTATATAATTAAAAAAAATCATGTAGGGTCAGCCAAGCCAGTGAAAGGACGAATCTACAATTAAAAAAATGGGTATAATGAATATCACGAATAATAAACATAAGCTTAGCCTTCTAAAAAAAATGACTCTACAAATAAAAGTAACATATAATAGTCGACTTATCTGACAATAAAAGAAAATAAAATCAAAATTAAGCATCAACTTGACTGACACTAACAAGATAAATTTAAAGAGTTAAATAAGTCCTTACTCTCAACTTTTTTAAAATTTTATTTTGTCTTAAATTTTGTCAACTTTTAGTCCTTCAATAATTTTGTCTTATAAATTAGTTCTTTTGGATAAATTTATTTTATTAAGTAATGATGTATGTTAATAAATTATTATTAACTCAATTATTAATCTTCATATAAAGATTTAGTAGATGTTAAATTGCATGACACTTGAAATTTTTCTATTCATTTATAGTCAAACATTCCATTTTCAAAATAAAAGATGTTATTAAAACAACTTTTCATTCTTATAACTATAAGCAAATTGTAAAATTATACATGTTATGTGATTTAACATCTATTAAAAAGTTATATAAATATCAATAATCTAGTTAATTATGATTTATTAATATATATCATCACTTAATAAAAGAGACTTAACCAACTTCAAGAGCTAATTTATGTCATAGAAAATTAATGGAAGACCAAAAATTGGTGAAAAATTTAAGGATTAAAAATCAAATTATGAAAGGAATTAAAAACTTACTTAATCCATTTAAAAATTATACATACAATTGTATCAACTTATACATACAATTGTATCAACTTTGTCGATAATAAATAAATTCAATTTTTTAAATATTTTAATTTAATGCCACACAAACCAACATTAAATTAAATTAATTTTTAAAACTAAACTCAACATACTTAAATGACAATATAGTGTAAGTCTAGCAACCTCAATGGAATGCCAATTTTAAAAAGTGGATGTACTGCAACTAGTATAAAAAAAATTTAAGGGAATGCATTGGATTAAGATTTTGAAAAATAATTTTAGCATGAAAAAGTCTTGTAAATTTTAATAAATTTTAAAATACTTTGTAAGAATATCATGACACTTTTATAATTTTTTAAAAATATTTTTAAAACTTGAATTTTAATCAAGACTTTGCATTTCAGATTCTAATTGATTTATATTATAAGATTTTCAAGGAGTTTATAGAAATCACATGGAAACATGGATTTACAATCCACAAAATTTATTGAAAAAATTAACATAAATAAGAAAGAAAAGTAAAATCAACATAATTTTTCCATTTTTTAATAAATAATTATTTTTATCTTTTGACAAATAATTGACTTTAGTATCCCCTAACAAACATTTTATTACATATATAAAGTTATACTAACCAACATATTCACTTTCATACACTTGAGTGTAGACAATTAAGTAAAAAAAATTAATTAAATACCATCATATTTTGATAAATTCCTAAAAAATTCATGATTATCTTAATTGAATATCAATAGATTTTGACTTACTCTTAAAAAAAATTTGATTGTCTTAACTGAATATTATATGACTTTTTTATATTTAAAAAAAATTGATTGATACCACGAGACTTTTTTACTATAAAAGAAATTCTTTAAAATACATTAAATTTTAATTCAATACACCAAAAATTGATTGATACCACGAGACTTTTTTACAATAAAAGAAATTCTTTAAAATACATTAAATTTTAATTCAATACACCAAAAATTGATTGATACCACGAGACTTTTTTACAATAAAAGAAATTCTTTAAAATACATTAAATTTTAATTCAATACACCAAAAATTGATTGATACCACGAGACTTTTTTACAATAAAAGAAATTCTTTAAAATACATTAAATTTTAATTCAATACACCAAAAATTGATTGATACCACGAGACTTTTTTACAATAAAAGAAATTCTTTAAAATACATTAAATTTTAATTCAATACACCAAAAATTGATTGATACCACGAGACTTTTTTACAATAAAAGAAATTCTTTAAAATACATTAAATTTTAATTCAACACACCCCCTTAATAGAGACCTTGGTTCCAACGCAAACCGTGAAAAAGTCTAGCTTTTTTTGTATTAGAGTCGGCCAACATTTGATTATAACAGCCAACATTCTTGTATTGTATTGTCCTTCCTTTTCTTGTTATTATTGTTTTACATTTGAAGTAACAATGTTTTCTATTATTGCTTTTCAATTGTTTGAATTGTCTGTTACATCTAGGTTTAGAGTACATCCTCCTTTGATGAGACAATAGGTGGTGAAATTAAGAAAGTAAATCCAGAGTTTCTCTTGTCCCAAAAACAATTTTCTTTGTTTTTTTTTTTTATCTTTTTTCTCAAATACAAAAGAAAAATGAACCGATGCATACCATTGTGCCTGAGAATGTGATACACAACACAATCACTAATTTAGCTCAGTTTAGTTTCTAATTCCTGCGGAATTGTTCTCTTATGTCGAAGGTACAAAGCTTCTAGACTGAACACAAACGTGTTGGACTGTTGGCTAGAGCTATATATGACACTAGAGTTTTAGCTGTATATGGTGAAATCCTTTATTATGTTTTTTTTCTGATTGAGTTGAGTCTATGTTACTTGACACAATGGCGTTTTCTTTATTAGAAGGGTTTAGGGTTGTCTCGAAATGGTATCTAATGTAATGTTTTCTGTATTGTTGTTACATGTGTGTGGCTTATTTTGTTCATTCTGATGGTTTTGGCTGCTAGAAGGTGACCTTTAACAGGTGCATGATTTTTTCGATTATCATGATTGCTTACTACTCCCTAGACCAATTGTCGATTGAATTATGTTATATTTCTAATATTTTGATTTTTGAGACAACCTTCTGTTTTAGACGTATTTTCATATTGATTATTACCCTTATTTTCTTCTCACTACATATAACAGTACTATTCATATTTCTCTTTTTGCCTATAAAAAAAATTGCAGGTATGGGTTCTCTCTCTTGATGAAACTTTGGTATTGGAAAGCTATGGGGAGAGATAGAGCTGCACAGAATAATAATCAAACTACGGGTATATGATAGGTAATCCATTAATAAATGGAAATACTTAAGGTTTATTGATAGATAGACAGACAGATAAATGTGCTGCATGTCTAACAAGTTTATGATTAAATGTGAATAGTGTTGCTGCCTTTATTTGATCAAGAGAAAACATCAATGGGTTCTTAAGAGTTAAACATGATCTACATTAGCTAGTGGGCTTTACTCAAATGATGGGTTGATAATGACAATGTAATAAGAAAAATAAAAGATTGTACATACTATCTCAACCACTCACCACTAGGCCTGGTTCATTATAGACAATGACTTAAATAGACTTGTTAAAATTTAGTTGACTTATTTTTATTGCTTGAATACTCTCACTCTTTCAACATTTTTAGAAAACTTAAATCGTTAATTACGTTTATATCAATGTTAAAAGTTAATTTTATAAACATGTATTTTAAATGTGTGAAAACAAAAGTAATCTATGCAAATGCAAATATATCTTACTGGTTTTCGAATAAAACAAGGTTCGGAAGTGCAAAAGACTGATGGAACATACCTACAAAGCATAATCAATTAAAACCTCAGGATAACATGAAAATAAATTTAACAGAAACCTTTTCACCCTCTACAATTGCTAATGTATCTTGAATTTTCTATTGAGTAATAAGCACTGTGCTCATTACAAATAATTCCAATATTAGCCGCATAGAATGAAACCGATAGTCATAAAAGCATACACAGAAATATCACCAATTATTGGGGACAGGGGTTACGATTTTTCAATATTATCTACTGCTGAGAGCAAGGGCGGGGGGCAACATTTATTTTTTTCCAATAATCCAAACAATCAATTTCAATTCAAATTCTTGACTCTAAACTGTGCCTACTTGATCATCAAATCAACTACACTTAACCCTTTACAAAAGAATAAGCAGGCATCCTTCTAGTATCTCATTAATTACATGCAAGCAGAAGAGATGCTGCAAATAGCCAAAAAATGTTTTACAAAAAGAATAGTTTCTAAGCTCTAATGCATCTGGAACCATCTCTCATCATTAGATGAGCACCTTAAGACTATATATGGAAAAAGTAATAATACCATATTCAAGAGCATGCAAACTTTCAGGATGTCCACAGAACTTGCTCAAAGTAAATTAGTCAGTACTTGCTTGATGTTGATCAATCAAACACCTGAAGAAAAAGGGGAAAAATTATTGCAGACTTTAATTTAGATACATTGTTAGTATAAATATTTTTACAAGGTTAGATATGATTTTTCAAATAATTACTATAAAAGTTGATAACTTTGAATTACATGGTAATACATATTGGAAGACAGTGTAATTCAACATATTCTAATTAAATTCTAACAGTTAAAGAATAAAAATTGATAAAAACTACTCGCATTCAATTTCCCAAATGCAATTTTATTAATCCTTCTGTTGAATCTATGTTTCCTAACAAAAACAGAGTTGAGGAAAAACACTACGCACAGACCTTCTAGACTTTCTGAATTAGTATACACAAATCTAAGTTTCAGTAGATAACTGCTTTCAGCAAAATCATGCAATGATCTGTAGCCTCGTCCCCTGCTATCATCTTCAGATTCAGCCGCATCCTTAATTGGTGATCTTCTATATTTATCAGCATTCTGTTTAAATATCAAATAGAAACATGTATAATAATAATAATAATAATAATAATAATAATAATAATAATAATAAAAGATAATTATCAGTGACATACATGAATGACAATGTTTTCAAAAACAGCATTTGAGTCCTATGTTAAGTATTTAACTAAAATAGGATGGAGTAACAGAATTCACTTTATAAAGATTCACCTGTAAAAAGTCCAGCATTTGCTCTTCAATGGTACCACGCATTGCTAATGTTTCCACATGAATAGGACGAGAAGCACCCATGCGATGAGCTCGACTAATTACTTGCTCCTCCATACTAACAAAATTTTGGTCATGCCAGGAAATTATTAAGTTGGACAAAGGTGCCAATTTGAGTCAAAGTCAGCAAATTGGGCAATCAAAAGATTCACTGCCAAATCACTTCATAGAACATAGTTCCAGTTTGCATATTGAACCCCAAGACAGAAAATAGACAAAAGATGCATATTAGGCGCACACCCACTGGCCAGAAAATTCTAATTGCCAAAAGTATTTAGGGCAAATAATTTGCAGGAAATTTTACTACACTCACAACAAAAGAAGATAATTAAACAATATAATATTAAATTTGTCTCAAAATCAATGTATCCCCCAGCCTTAAAAGCAATAAAAATCTAATTTTATAACTTTGTTTGCAAAATTAGATTAGTTTGATGTATTAACCTTCTGTCCCAAATTGGCTCCATTAGAAATACATGCGTAACAAAACTCAAGTCAAGACCCAATGCAGCACTTCCATCCATCACAAGAGCCATACAACTTGAATCATGCTGGAACATGGCTAGTGACTTTTTCTGGAAAAGGGAAAGGTAAATTAACCAAAGGTCAGAAAACAAAAGTAAATTTAAATTTTCAGAAACAGTAGCAGAGAATTCCAACATTATACCTTGTTGCTGGAATGCATTGGGCTATACATTCCAGTGTATTTGATACCAGCAACAGTCAACTGCCAAAGAGAAATCCAAATTTAATAGTTTGATCGTTTGCAAAAGGATCTGCAGATGTCAAAAAATAATATAGAAATTATTCACAAAAGATCACACAGAAAAACCACCTGCTGTTCAATGACATGTATGTGCTCCAGAAATTGAGAAAATATCAGAACTTTCTCAGGGTTCAAATTGGTCTTTGTGCTGCTCATAGAATATTTCTGAACATTTCTGACACCTTTCTCAATATGCATCGCTTCATTGCTATTGTCAGCATTCAAGTTTGTTCCTTCATCAGTTCCACGCAAAGCTTTCAACCTCTGGACGAGATAGGAGACTTTACTACTAGATGTAGATTGCCAATCAGGATCCCAATTATCCTGGTTATTCAACAATCCACATTACATGTTAGAATTGTAAAACAGAAAAAGAGGGGAAAGGGGAAGATGAATGTGAACGCAATTCAGTTCTTCATTAACCATGCCTGCTTATATGAAGGTTGTAGCTCAATAAGATCTTTGGGTACAGGCCACTTTGGGTTAGGATTTTCAGGTCTGGCCAATCTACTCTGCATCTCATACAATTTACCACAGCCAGGATAAGTACACTTTGTATTGTCTATAGAAACACAATCAAGGCACAACAGATGCCGACATGGTGTAACAAGCGGAAGGCGGCACCATTCCTTGCACCTTCACAATTTATTTAAAAAGAAAAAGAATTATAAGCAGCAACAACTGGAAGAAAATTAGAATCACAAGAAAGAATAAGACATAGTTACTACCTGACACAGTGACCACCATACAAGAGAATAAATCTTATGGAGCTATACTCTCCTGAAGTAGGATCTAGACCACTTTGTGCTAGCATGTCCATTGTTTCTTGAATATCTTCTCCAGCATGTGTAACTTTAATATGTCCAGAAACACAGCATGAAAGCCTGACATTTTTTAAAGTTGCACTACGAAATTTCCACTGTTTTGGATTCAGTAGACTCTCAACATGGGAAGGATCATTCCAATCAGCCATTAATATATTACGTCGTACAGTGAGTACCAATTCATTGTAACTTCTAGCATGCTCCTCATTAAAATCTAGATAAACAACTTTCTTGATGCATTCTGGAATGCTTTGTAAATCTGTCTTTCTAGCACTAATCATGCATTTATGAAGTAAACATAACAAACGAGACCTTCCTTCCTCCATCTCTGCTTCAAATGGCCTAAGCACACCAGCTTCCCATGACTTTTGATTCAGTCCATAAGCTTCTTCATGAAGGAACCTTAGCAATGGTTGTAGATGTGGAAGTTGGCTGTTAGGAGTGTTCGGTGTTGGAGTTCCTGTTAGTATCCATCGGTTTGAAGCTATCAATGAAATAGCCATTTGCAACTTGTTTGTTAAGTTCAGGCTTGACCCAAGAGTGTGCCCCTCATCTAAAATTATCCTAAACCAGTGCACTTGCATCAAAACACTCCTCTTGCGTGGGCCCCATTCTGCACTCAAACGGCTAAAAGTAGTGATCACAACATCATAATCCCATGCAAGACAATGCACAGAAGGCTTCCGATGATCGGTCCAAACATAAACCCGCAATTGACCAGGACTGACATGCTTTTCTATTTGTGTTTTCCAATGATCAACCAAGTTTGCTGGAACAACTACCAGGGTAGCTCTTGACAAGTATAACCTAACAAAATCTAGTGGCTCACAGAGAGCCATGCCAAGGGCAGCCACATCAAAAGTCAAATTGTTAAGATTTTGTGGGTAGTACCACTTGCACACACCTTTCTCTACTCTCTTTAGGAGGCCAAATGCTTGAAATATTTTGTGAAATGCATTGCAATGTCCATTAGGTGCAGAACAATTGTCTAAAATAGGACCCCTTATGCCATTTGCTTCCATTCCTGCAAGCTTGTATGTCGGAATTTTAGCCAACCATGTGAGGGCCTTCCTTGTTCGCACATCTATCATGGAGTAGTGCTCCTTAAGCACGTTAGTGAAAAAAGAAACATTTTGTTTCTCACCACCACAAGTTCCTTTCAAGTGAAACCCTGGGAAGTGTGTTATCTCACAGCTATGAGAAAAATTTTGTTCAGGGACACTACAACTTTGATAGAAAGGATCAGTGTTCATACTACAGAACCATGCTGAGCTAGAATTAGCCATACTATTGTCTTCAAGCTTTCGCCACTTGTGACATGCATCACACTGAATCCATGTATCACTGTACTCCAAACCATCACCTTTAGTCTTCCTAGGCAACTTGTAACTCTGTCCACATCCATAAGAAGCACTAACTAGCTTGTTTTGAGATGCAAGAGATGCAGTCTCTGATGCATGCTTTGCTTTAACTAATCCTTCACCAAATTCTTTTTCCTTGGAATTCATAGCTTCCTCATCATAAGTGAAAAGTAGGTTTTTCTTTATGCAACTCAAACTCCTAGTGAGCCGATTTGAATGCATTGATTCCTTAAAGGATGCAGCTACAGGTGATTTGTTTTCTTCCAGGAGACATGAACCATGAAGTGTAGTGATTTGCTGCTCTGGATCTGTCAATCTCACTCTTTTGGAGGAACTATCATGGTTATCATTAGTTCTACTGACATCTTGGCACCCATCCCTTTTACCCAAGGTAGTACAACCAGTGATGTTATTACCACTGATCTCATAATAACCACAGTTCTGATTACCATTATGTTGACACCAGACTAGCTGTGCCCCATCTGGTGGATCAGCCAATGAACCTCGTGTCTTCATAATAAGAGAGAGAGCTGTTACAGTCTTACCCAATCCAGGCTCATCACAAAACATTCCTCCACGAAAATCCTTGACAGTTGGAGCTTCCCCAGTGACAATTTCACCTGATACAGTATTTACATGGAAACTAAAGCCATCATCAGTTGAGAGAGGTACAAATAAAGGATGTGGCAAAAGCTCAGCACCCCGCTCGCGATGCAGCATCCACTCAACTGCTGTCCGCTGATGAGGAAACAGATTTAACTTTGTACACGGCATTACTGAAGCAGCCAAGGATCTTAGATGACGACATGTTGCAGAAACCCTTGTGAGGTCCATCGGACCCAGGGAAGCTAAAATTTTAGTCAAAATGTCATCAGGTATCGACCAAATGCCTAATTCACCACTGTTTTCTATTGGCATTATCTTGGGACTATCAGTCATCTCCCGTTTTCCTACACCAGGCAGTGTCTTAAAAATTTCATGAAGTTCAAATAGTGTTTTCTTTGAGGAACTGCTCGCACGGGAATGAAGCGTGCAGCCAAGTACATGACAATCAGAAAGGTTTGAAATCTTTTCATTAGCTGCACAAACCTTCCTACAATAGTCTGGAGATGAAAGCATTGAACTTCTCTCATCCCAATCACAGCTGCATAAGCATTTAACTGTTAGCAAACAAAGACAGTCAAAGATATATGTCAAGTATGTCCACACAGGAAAACAAAGGGACTAGATTAGTCAAGTTAAATGACTATTACATAACTCTGAGAATATAACGGGCGAGTGAACTAGTATGACCATTTTAAAAAATATAGATGGGATTCAGAGTCTGTATAGATACAAATTTAGAAATGTTTTTGAGAGCTTCAAAAAAAAAAAAAAAACCTTATTTTCAGTATAGAAACTCTCAAATGTACTTATAGATTGTATCCAAATAGGTTTTAAGTTTGATAGAATGATAAACTTTGTAACATGAAACTTCTAAGAATACATATTTTACCAAAAAGATCTCACAGAAAAATTGAAAACCAAACATGCAGTAACAAATGCAGGCTAAAACCGGGAACAAATAAGTACAATTTGAGAAACTATTATGCAGAATTGATTAAAATTGTTCTCTACACAATGCAATGCAATGTTACGAGGGAGTAAATTGTACCAAACAATTTCCTCAACACAATACAATCGAATTCAACGGCGAGAAAGACGCCAACCTCAAATGGCGAAAAACGGCGCCGGCGACGGCCCCGGATCGCGGAAACTGCCAGCCGCTCCAGACCTGAATTGGGAGATACACGTCAACGAGGAGCACAACCCTAGGCGCGTCAACGCACACGACGCGAGCATCGATTTCGGTGCACTTGCGGGTGACCATAGCGTCGAGCTGGTGAACCACGCTCACGCTCCCGTTCACCATCCCGATCTTGTTCGTGCGCTTCGATTTGGAGCCTCCGCATTGCGGCGAATCGAGCGCACCCAAAACGACGCCGCTTCGGGTCCGGAAACCGACCTCGCCGCCGTCGCCGAAGACCTCGCAGCGCTCGCCGAAGCGTGGGGCGTCGTCGCTCTGATTATTGACTGTGAGAACCGCACAGAGGAAACCGCAGAGTTTGTGGTCCGCGAAGGTGCTGGTGCTGGTCATTGCCGTTGGTGGAAGGAACCGAACCGGGCCAAACCGAACCGTACCGAACCGGAGAGATTAAATTAGGGGGTTCGGGATTTGCAGGTTTCTGAAGAGAAGAAAAAGAAAGCGGAGGAAAGAGAGAACGCCAACAGATAAAAATTCAATAGGATACAAAACGACGTCGTTTTAGTTTGACTAGTTACTATAGTATAAAGTAACTTGTGTCTGTTGGTGGGCCCTCTGTGCCAAGGAAGAATATTCGATATCCCATCAAACTTCTTAAGATGGTTGTTGGCTTGATCGGTATTAGTGATCATTGGTACTATCTACTATGTGGAGTATGAGATTCTTCATTTGTGAAAAGAAAAATGTGATCACTATAGCTATTGGAGAAGAACATTCAGAGCCTAATTTGCAATGATTATGAGAATAATTACCAAGATAATAATAGTAATATGAAGGATATTGGGTTGTTTAATGAATGATTAGATGTTAAAAAAAAAAGAGAAAAACAAGTAATCGAAGAAACAATCTTATTGGGCCATTTTATTTTGTGAATCAATCCCCACTACCACTGTTTGTTGGAAAGATTCACAAAAATTATGCTCAAGATTCTAAGTGAAATTGGCCTCCGCACACCAACCCTCGAGTTAGACCCTCAACAACCCCACGTGCATGAAAAACAAAAATTAAATGTTGCCCTCTTATGCCAAGGGCAACAAATTGCTACATGGAAATGGTTCAGAACAGACTTGAAAAGAACTTAACCTTCCGTCAATTATAAAAAATAAAATTAAAATAAAAAAAGTTAAACTTGGTTTGCTCCCTCTCCTACCCTAGTAGTGAATATGGTGGATCAAGAAAATATTTCTGTACTAGTAAACACCTCCCTTGGCTGGATCCTAGGCCGAGAGAAGCATCTAAACCGACGAACTCTCCACCTACGTTACCCCTTCGGTCTTGAACTTGGCCGAATACCCCTTTTCGGCCTTAGGGATAGCTGAATACTTTTCTCACAATTAAAAGGGGAAGGAAGCACTCCAAAACTGGGCAAAAGAGCATCAAAGGGAAACGCTCAAATCACCCCCTCGGTTTAGAGCATGATCGAACACCCCTTCGGGTTTAAATATGGCCGAATACCCCTTCGGCCTTAAGCTTAGTCGAACCCCCCTTCGGCCTTAAGCTTGGCCGAACCCTCCTTCGGCCATGAGCACGACCGAACACCTCTTTGGCTAACAGCTTGGCCGAAGACTCAAAGAATGTCAACTCACAGGAAACATATGGCAGATTAGGATATCCATTACACAATGATTATCACGTCTAATTAAGAAAGATCAAGGTTAACCAAGGTATTACCCATCTCCCAAGACAAAAGACCCACCAGACCCAAATATGTCACTATAAATACACAGGTGATGGGATAGAAAAGAGGTACGATTTATCTAGTATAAAAGCCTTTATTGCTCTATACCGAACACTTACTTGATCATCGGAGTGCCTTTGCAGGTACCCTCCCCACCCTTTGAAGATAGTATTCGGTCGGCACCAAAGACTTAGAAGACCACGAAGAAGGAGCGACAAGAGGAGTGTTTCTACACAGGAACATTTTGGCGCCCACCATGGGGCCGAAACCAAACGGTTCTCGACCCTAAATTAAGATGGTAGCAACTAGAAGTCAGTAGGATAACGCAACAGTTCACAACCTCGGGATGCCCCGAGAGCTAAGACAACAGACGCATCAGAACGAGGAAGGAATGGAGGAGTCCTACGTGGATCGGTCCCAACCTCCCAACCCCTCATCGGCCATAGAACAGCTGAAAGCCGAAATGATGGAGTTAAAGAGACTCCGGGAGAAGGACGCCCACGAGCTGTTGCTCTTAAGAAAGGAAAATGCAAAACTTAGGAGCGATAACAGATCCTGGCACTCATCCCATGGTACCCCCAACACACTATCAACACGTGATCAGGGGGAATCGTCAGGGTGGTACAAAGAGACGAGGGCTCCTCGACCACCCGGATGAGTGATGACAACAACGCTGGATCAGCAACGACGGTAAGAGAGAACACCCTTTACTCCGGACATCGCTGGAGCCCGGTTACCTGACAATTGGAAGAACTTGGCCTTAGAGAGGTACGATGGAACCACTGATCCGGAGGAACACCTTGATGCCTTCGTCACACAAGTCGATTTGTACACCGAAGAGGATGCTGTCATGTGTAAAGTGTTCCCCACATCACTAAAAGGACCGGTGTTAAACTGGTTCACGAGACTCCCATCGGGATTGGTAGATTCCTTTACCACCCTGTCCTCTCGATTTGTGATTCAATTTACCACGAGCCGCCCCCATTAGCTCACGTCCATAGCCCTGGTTAACATACGCCAAGAGAAGAAGGAACCTTTAAGAACCTTCATGGAGAGGTTCGGAAAAATGACACTCTCTATCCGAGATCTAAACCCGGCGGTGGCAATGCATCATCTTACGATAGCACTACAGCCTAGACCATTCGTGAATAGCTTATGTAAGAAGCCACCCCGAGACTTGGACGACCTGAGGCAGAGGGCCACGAAGTACATGCAGATGGAGGAATTGGCCGAGTTTTAGAATCAAAACCGACCCGACCTTTTTCTTGGGAAGAAAGAAAGCGAGAAAGAACACCCCAGGCCTCGTCCACGAGACGTACTTGATCGTGAGAAGAACAGGGGGCCAAGGTACGCACAGTATACGCCGCTTAACGCCAGCAGGACCAAGGTGTTGGAGCAGGCGTTAGCTACCGAGGTCCTAGCCGTACCCCGACGAGCCATGACTCCGCCCCATGCGGATAAAATAAAGAGGTGCCGGTTCCATAGAAATCGAGGACACACTACTAAAGAGTGCACAGCCCTTCGAGACCACATCGAAGACCTTGTCAAAATGGGGCACCTTCAAAATTTCATCCGACCCTCAGATGGGAGAAAGCATGACTACCACTTGGGTAAGAGAGAACACAAAAGGGAGGACTGGGAGAGAGCACCTCCGAGGTACAGATCTCGGGAGCGTAGACGATCCCAAGAGAGAAACGATCAGCAGCGAGACCGAAACCAGCCTCGAAGGGTAATCAACACAATCGCTGGAGGATTCGCGGGAGGAGGGAGCTCGTCCTCGGCTCGTAAAAGACGCCTACGGGAAATCAAGTCAGTAAACTTCGTAGGCCGGACAGCTTCGGTCCACATGCCCCTATCACTTTTAATGATCGAGATTTTCAAGGCGTCGACCATGTGCAAGATGACCCGATGGTGATTAGTGTGGAGATTAACAATTACCTTGTGAAAAAGACACTTGTCGATCAAGGGAGCTCGAATGACATCTTGTACTAGAAGACATTTGAACAGCTCGGCATACCTGAACGAGAGTTGACACCTTACAATGAGCCCCTAGTCAAATTTTCAGTGGAAAGGGTAGACACGCGAGGGACGATTGACCTATACACCTATTTCGGGAATGGGCAAGAAGGCCGACAAGTAAAGGTACGATACGTGGTGGTCCACTCCAATACTTCCTATAATATTTTACTTGGGCGACCCTCGTTGAACAAGTTTCGGGCTATTGTATCCACCCCTCACTTGGCTATGAAGTTTCCGTCGGAAGAAGGAACGGTAATCACCCTACATGCTGACCAAAAGGTGGCTCGCAAATGTTACTTCGCCATCCTAAAGGTATAGCCGACTCCTAAGCCTAGGCAAGATGTCAATGTCATTGGCGATGCCCGCAAAGAAAGGCCGATAGTGGACTTAGAGCTCGATCCCCGAATTGAAGATGAGCACCAAGTTGAACCAATTGAGACAACAATCCCGTTTCAACTCGGGAGAAACGAGGAACAGGTCACGTACTTAAGTTCTCAATTGTCGGAGGACGAAGCGAGAGAAATTAAGCAAATCCTTGTAAAGTACTCGAACCTATTTGCCTGGACGGCGGCCGACATGCCGGCCATCGACCCAAGTTTCCACTGCCACTGGCTTTCCATATGCCGAGATGCCAAGCCCATCGCCCAAAAGAAAAGAAAAATGGGAGGAGAAAGGGCTCAAGCAGTGAAAGAAGAGACGACCAAGCTACTACAAGCGGGGTTCATCAGGGAAGTCAAGTACTCCACTTGGTTGGCCAATGTGGTAATGGTCAAGAAGGAAAATGGCAAGTGGCAGATGTGTACCGACTACACGGATCTGAACAAGGCATGCCCAAAAGATGCATATCCCCTACCACACATTGACGCATTGGTCGACGGAGCGGCTGGTCACCAGAGGTTAAGTTTCCTAGACGCCTACTCAGGGTATAATCAGATACCCATGTACCCACCGGATGAAGAGAAAACTGCGTTTATCACCGATTCAGCCAATTTTTGCTACAAAGTGATGCCATTCGGTTTGAGAAACGCGAGGACGACATACCAACGACTCATGGATAAGATCTTTCAACGGCAGATAGGAAAATACATGGAAGTGTATGTGGATGACATGGTGATTAAATCTGCCTCCAGCGATGATCACATAAGAGATCTCGGAACAATATTCGACGAAGTGAGGCGGCATCACATGCGATTGAATCCAGCGAAGTGCACCTTCGGAGTCGCTAGTGGGAAGTTCTTGGGCTTCATGCTGTCAAAGAGAGGTATAGAAGCTAATCCCGACAAGTGCCAGGCCATCGTTAATATGAGAAGCCCACGTAACGTAATGGAAGTACAACGACTGGCCAGGCGCATAGCTTCCTTAGCTCGTTTTCTGCCCTGCATGGCAGACAAGTCAAGACTCATAATGTCCTTGTTGAAGAAGGCCAGCAAGTTCCAATGGACTGAAGAATGCGAGTCCTCATTTCAAGACTTCAAGACAATGCTCACAGCCCCGCCATTGCTTGCTAAACTGAACCCCCAGCTAGAGATGATCGTTTACATCTCGGTGTCGGACAAAGCTATTAGCACGGCCCTAGTGCAAGAACAAATGAAACAAATGTCGGTATACTTCATCAGCCGAGTCTTGCAAGAAGCCGAGACCCGGTACCAACATCTTGAGAAAACGGTTCTAGCTCTTGTACACACGGCCCGACGTCTCCGGCACTACTTCCAGAGCCACAAAGTCGTCGTCAAGATAGATAGCCCGATTGTCAAGGTCTTGCGAAAGCCCGAACTAGCCGAACGAATGGTCGCTTGGTCCATAGAACTATCACAATTCGATATTCGTTTTCAACCAAGAGGACCCATCAAAGCACAGAGCATGGCCGACTTCATAAACGAATTCACTCCGAAAGTACCACCTGAGCCGCATGTATGGACTTTGCATGTAGACGGCTCGTCAAACCAACAAGGTGGCGGAGCCGACATTATACTAGAAGGTCCTGGTAAAGTGGTGGTCGAACAATCACTACGATTCAGTTTTAGGACTTCCAACAACCAAGCCGAGTATAAGGCCCTTCTCGCCGGCTTAAGGCTGGCAAACGACCTAGGCATCACTAGAGTTAAGTGTTGGAGCGATTCACAAGTGGTTACCAGACAGGTCAACGACACCTTCCAAATTAAAGAGCCGACACTACTATTGTACTTCCATGCTTTCCAGAAGCTGAGAAACAATTTCGATGACGTCTACGTTGAGCACATACCCCAGGAACTTAATGCAAGAGCCGACCAATTGGCTAAGCTAGCAACCAGCAAGAAGACTAGCCATTTGCGTAGCATGATACAACAAGAACTACAAAAGCCAACCATCGTGGAAGCCAAGTGTTTACACGTCCATCAAGGGAGTCCTAATTGGATGACCGGCATAGTTAAATACCTTTTGACTGGTGAACTACCCGCCGACCCCTTAGAAGCTAAGATGATGAGAACCATGGCAGCACGGTACACATTAGTAGCTGGAGAGCTATATAAGAGGGGCGCCTCATCGCCCCTGTTGAAGTGCTTAACTCCCGAACAAGCGGTCTATGTCCTCCGAGAAATCCACAAAGGCATATGTGGAACTCACTCGGGAAGCCGAACTCTCGCAGCCAAGGTCGTCCGGGCCGGTTACTATTGGCCAACCCTAGCTACCGATTACGCCGAGTTCGTTCAACAATGCAAGCCGTGCCAACAGTATGGACCATTAACACACCAACCCCCGAAATAGCTACACTCTATCACGACCCCATGGCCATTTTCCATTTGGGGCATGGATATTCTAGGGCCTTTCCCGCCAGCAAAGGGGCAAGTGAAGTTCCTCATTGTAGCAGTGGATCATTTCACTAAATGGATCAAAGCAGAGGCAATGGCCACATCACGACCAACAACGTTCAGAAGTTCTTCTAGAGGAATGTTATCACCCGCTTCGGGATTCCATACGCACTGATCACAGACAATGGCTTACAGTTCACCGATCGTCGCTTCAATGACTTTTTGTCTAGGTTAGGAATTAAACATAAAATGACTTCAGTAGAACATCCTCAATCCAATGGACAGGCAGAAGCAGCAAACAAGGTTATCCTTAAAGAGTTAAAGCGGCGACTCGGACAAGCCAGGGGTTCGTGGCCTGATCATCTACTTGAGATTTTGTGGGCTTATCACTGCACTCCGCAAAGCTCGACTAAGGAAACCCCTTTTCGGCTAACTTATGGCACAGATGCCACAATTCTAGTAGAAGTAGGAGAACCTTCACTAAGACGGTTACAATTCAATGAAGACACCAACGGGGAAGCTCTCAACGTGGAACTAGATCTGATCGACGAAGCACGCGAACTCGCTCTCATCAACATGGAAGCCTGTCGAACCAAGTTAGCCAGAAAACTCCGGACGAAGGTCAAACCACGTGAGTTTCAGGTCGGAGACCTAGTTTGGCGAGTCACAAGGGAAGCAAGGAGAGACAAAGCTCAAGGCAAGTTGGCACCTAACTGGGATGGCCCCTATCGCGTAATGCATAACTAGCAAAACGGAGCCTACAAACTAGAAGAACTCACTAGAAAGGCCATCCCCCGAACATGGAATGCGACACACTTGAAACACTATTTCAGTTACCAAACATTATGTAATTGTTTCGGTGTACTCTTTTCCTTTTCGCAGGTTTTTTCCTCTTATAAAAATATGAAAGAGGTTTTACTGAGAAAAGTTTTTTAACGAGGCACCATATCAATGAAACAAACACTTTTCGAAAGAATATATTGCATTTACTCTCAAGATTACCACTATAAAACTTAATCCCTCCCGAGCACCTACTCTCGGCCAAGGTTGAACTACGTAATCCCTCTCGAGTACCCTCTCGGTCAAGGTTGAGAAACTTAATCCCTCCCGAGCACCTACGCTCGGCCAAGGTTGAACTACGTAATCCCTCGCGAGTACCCTCTCGGCCAAGGTTGAGAAACTTAATCCCTCCTGAGCACCTACGCTCGGCCAAGGTTGAACTATGTAATCACTCCCGAGTACCCTTTCGGCCAAGGTTGAGAAACTTAATCCCTCCTGAGCACCTACGCTCGGCCAAGGTTGAACTACGTAATCCCTCCCGAGTACCCTCTCGGCCAAGGTTGAAAAACTTAATCCCTCCCGAACACCTACACTCGGCCAAGATGGAACACTAAGTCCCTCCCTAGCACCTACGCTCGGCCAAGGTTGAACACTTAATCCCTCCCGAGTACCCTCTCGGCCAAGGTTGAACCACTTAATCCCTCCAAATCACCTACGCTCGGCCAAGGTTGAACACTTAATCCCTCCCAAGTACCCTCTCAGCCAAGGATGAACAATTCAAGTCCTCCCAAATGTTTATACTCGGTGAGAGAGGAACGGTGAGCCTTCACGGGCGCCCATGCTCGGCCAAGGAAAAACAATGTAAACCTTACCGAACACATAACATCGGCCAAAGAGGCACCACCGGATACCACACTCGGTCGACAAGGAACAAATTATTGCAAGTGCTCTCACTTGACCGAAGGAAGGGCGACCTTGAATATCATATCACGTACCTTCATTCATTCAAACATTAGTTCCTCTCTCGGCCGAACGAAATGATTGCTAACAATCCGTTTCCTTTTGGTTAATACCGATGCAGGGCAGTTTAAGTTATTTAACGTTATTAGAATCAAAAAAAGACCGAACCCGAAGGACGGTATAAAGAAACAAGATAGAATCCGAATATGTAAGAAGAAACAATTCATTAAAAGGCTCTATGGCCGAAGCGGCGCTATTGGCCGAAGGGTACAATAATGACATGGCTCGGATGGCCCAAAAAGAATCAAAAGTAAAGAAAACAAAAAGCACCATATTTCTATACATCTTCCTCAAAACAGATGTACAACCAAAAAGTAAAATGTTGAAGCCTATCAATCGAAATTTGTAGTCTGCTCGGTCTCCTCATCATCGTTCACAGTAGCCCCGGGATCCTCAGGGGCGGCCGAACGGGGGGGAGCAACTTCGTCTAGCTCAGCATCATCATCGGCGTCGGCAAAATCCAAGTACACTCCCTTGAAAAAATCCTTGCTTAATTCGAACGAGAAGTTGGCAGGAAAGGTGCCGAAATGGGTGGCTTGCCGAACCGCATGCCAAAAATTGGCCTCATGCTCTTTGATGATTTTATTTTCACAGTCGGACCGGAAAGAATTTAAAGTAGCTTCGGCATCAACCTTTGACTGCTCCTCCCGAGCCGTGATTTCTTGCACCTCCCGAACCCTCATGCGCTCGGCATCCTTGGCCACAAGTGCTCGGCCCTCCATTTCATTCAAGGCCTCTTTCAACCGAGCCACTTCCGCTTCCAAAGTCTACTTCTCATTGGAAGTCACTTCATGCGCCTCCACCGATTGTTGGAAGGCCGTCTACGTCTCCTCCAAACTTAGTTGGAGGTTGCGGACATCGGCCATAGGCTCTAAGGCCAATTTCCTAAGTATAGCCGTGGTTTGGATTTGTAATTCGCAGGCCATGGCCCATTGAGCCGAAGGGGCGGCGGAGTCAAGCATCCGGTGACCCTGCTCGGAGAGTAGATCCAACGACATCATCCGGGCTGGCCGAACCTCTTCGAACAGAAAATCTTTCGAGACAATAACTGAAGGGATGGCCAAGTCAGTTGAGGGGCTCTCCACCCGACGATGCTTGGACCGGTTGGTGTCCGCCTCTCCCGCGTCGGCCTTTCTTTTTCCCTTGTCCTTTTTCTTCTTGCCCGCAGGAGCGGGGAGGACCACATCTTGAGGGGTAGGACGAGGAGCTGCCATGGTATCTGGGACTGAATCAATTGCCATACTGCGGTGGTCATCGGCCGAAGTCCCCTCAGGGCCCGATTCCTCAAGGCTTGCGATAGGACAGGCCGAGACCTTGTTGAGCCATCCAACCTGCAAAAATGAAACAGTCACACATCAACTTAACAAGAACGTTGGTCAGAAAAATCAATACATACCGTCCAACTCAAAACGCGGCCGAGGCGATTTGGGCAATAGCACCAAAAACCGAGCCGGGATCCATCGGGGCAAGCCTTTCAAATAATCCAAGGCCGAAACCTCGAACTCGGTCATCATTTCCACCGGAAAGTCATCATACTTCTGAGGTGTCTGGGTCTAGTAGAAAGGAAACAAAGGATTTTGCTCGGCATCATAAAAGAAATTTCGGCCGGCAACGGGGTCTAAGATGACCTTCACAAACCCCGACTTAAACCCTTTGAACGACGAAGTAAAAGGCCTCAGAAGCGGTCGATCGACATGTCTAACTAAGGAAAGCCACTTAACCGATTTATTTGATGGACGAGTGTAGAAAAAATGCAAAAATAGACCTACACTAGGCTCTATATAGTGGTATTTACAAAGGACTCGGAACGCTTGCATGTAAGCCCACCCATTCGGATGCAACTAGGTCGGCGCAACGTTCAATACACGAAGTACTCCCATTTGGAAATCGTCCAAAGGGAGGGACATGCCGAGCTCTCGGAAAAAACACTCATACATGTAAAAGAAGTCCCCCTGACCTTCTTGCTTCGCAAGAAACACCAAGTCGACCCCCTAGGGCCTTCGGCTCAGCACCGCCGCAACATGAACGGATATGGGTCTGAATCCTCCCATCGGGCCAACGTGCAAACACCGAGAAGGCGCTCCACGACAGTCCTCTCATAAAAACGCGAGAAATATGCCGCTACCTCCCCATCAACTCATTCATACCCCGGAACCTCTCACGGGGGAACTTCTGTCTATAGTCCCGAGGACTCATCTCGGCATCTGGAAGATCTGAGCCAGACAAAGAACTCGCGGATTCCCCGCTACTAATTGGCCCCAACCTAGGGGAACCCTCCAAGACCTCGGCCTCAGCATTGTGAGCCAAGACCTCGGCCTCGGCATTGTGAGCCGAGACCCTTACGTCGGACGAGGACCTAGACGACAATGTGACACCTTCGGCTGCCATTACCTCAAGAAAAACCGACCGAAATCTAAGCAAACCTACCTTCACGAGTATTCGGCTTTGAGCAGTGAGGGCATTAGGGCAGTGTTTACTATATAGGAAGCGTGAGAAGGGGTGTCACCATACCACCATATATATAGGTGAGCCAAGGCACCCCAAGAGTCTCTAATAAATGCTCTCAAATGTGAAAAGACACAACCCCAGGGCGCAAAACCCAAAGGCGGCCAAAGCATGCAATGGTCACAATCATGAAGTGAAAGGGCACGATTCTCGAGGTGCCCGTGAAAAAACACCCCCCTTCAAGAGCAAAACCCTAAAGATCCTCAAACCCCTTCGTCTTTCATCCTAGGGCTTGGGGGGCAGTGTACTAGTAAACACCCCCCTCGGTCGGATCCTAGGTCGAGAGAAGCACCTAAACCGACGAAATCTCCACATACGTTACCCCTTCGGTCTTGAACTTGGTCGAATACCCCTTTTTGGCCTTAGGGATAGCCGAATTCTTTTCCCACAATGAAAAGGGGAAGGAAGCACTCCAAAACTGGGCAAAAGAGCATCAAAGGGAAACGTTCAAATCACCCCCTCGGTTTAGAGCATGACCGAACACCCCTTAGGGTTTAAATATAGTCGAATACCCCTTCAGCCTTAAGCTTGGCCGAACCCCCCTTCGGCCTTAAGCTTGGCTGAACCCCCCTTCGGCCATGAGCACGACCGAACACCTCTTCGACTAACAACTTGGCCTAAGACTCAAAGAATGTCAACTCACGGGAAACA